GGTAAAGGATATTTGGTGAACGATGGAGATGGAGAGAAGTGGAAGTAAATTCTATAGGAGTAGGATGGTTTGGATATCCATCCATGGACCGCAAAGGGAGGGAAAGTGATGCAGTTGTTTCGGGGAATATTATGTTCAAGATACTGGTGAGGCATTTTAGTGACAATTGTCAGGCAAGCTGTTGGACATTCTAATCTGGTGTATAGAGAAATTAAGGTAGGAAATTATATGGGAGGCATCCCAATAGAGGGAATATCAAAAGTGACAGACATTAATATGACCTTTTACAGTTCACGTACCACTTCAACACTCAGTAATTCAATTCATATTTAATATAACTCTTTGCAGCCAAGAAGGTCTTATTATGGCACTTCAGAGGCATGAAAACCAAAATTACTTCATGTAAATTTACTTAAACTTTCAACACTAGTAAGTGACAGAACTAGGACTTGAAACTAGGTCATCCACTGCCAAATTCTAAGATTTTTGGTGTGTGATATTTACACTGCGGGGCCTATCCAATGGAGATTGAAGCTGTAGAAAATAAGATCCCATGGGAAAGAAATATGATGACCATAGCTTAGGACACACTATTTTTAGGGACTGGAGAGATGAGGGTACGGTAAAGAGATGGAGCAATTAGAACGTACCACAAGAATGGTTGACGCCAGAAACCAGTCAGTGGGCAGAGGGTGGCGAGCTTCTGGAATGAGGGCATGATTAGCATTCTCAGGTATTACCTGGAGGGTCAGGATGCTTGGTGCTGAGCACAGAGCACTGTCTTTCCCACACGTTTTGTCTCTTGTTCATTTTATATTCACTCTTATTTCACTTATTTTGGCTTTAGCTCCCGACTGGGGTATAAGTTCCTTGAGGGAAAGGTTCATGTCTTATTTTCCTTCTTGTCTGTACCGCCTAACACAGCTGCACACATAGCCTGATATAAAATGTGAAAGCTCTCTGCATGCAGATGATTAATCCTCACTAGAATTTTTCCAAAGGCACAGTCTCTAGTGCCAAAAACACATTTGTTTAAAACGTGTGCTTAAATTTGAATGAATCTGCCTAAATGGTGCCATCTGTTCTTCAGAAATGTTTTAATACAATTAAATCCAGTTTCAGAAATGTTTTAATACAATTTTACCTTTAAAAGGACAAATGTATGCCAGTAAGACATAAAGACATGCCTATGAGACATAAAGATGTCCTTAAATAAACACAGAGCAGATACCAGCACATCCAAGCACACTTGAACAGATCCACATAAAGAATGTTTTCTGAGGTTTAAGAAAATTTTATCTAAGAGGACACCAACCGCTACTTCATGCAGAAAATATTTATGAGAAGTTACAAAACGGTAGGCATGGACTCCTACAGCATATTACTGCATTTTAATTACAGACTCCAGAAATATAATTTTAGTTTTTATAAATCTCATATTCCTTTGAAATGGGTACACGCTTCCAATATTTGTTAATGGTCCACATTTTATTGTGGTTTCAGCATATCAGTTTCCAAGCTGAAGACAGATGTTGAGGGTAATCTCTAATTTGTTTATATTGATTGTCAATTTGACTTTTGTTACAATACTGTAGGATTTATTGTTGTGCAAATATAACAGTGAAATGAAACCCATGTTTAAGTTCTGCAAATAACTTACAGTCACTTCCAAAACACCTCAACTTAGGTTCTAAATTTGAGTTTGCGGTTTTACATGCACAGTTATTTGCTGATCCACTTTAGCATGCAAAATCACACACTGGCTAGGTTTGGGTATAGTTATTGTGGCAGCAAGTAATGGGTCAAATTTGCAGCCTATTTAACTCACTAGCTACATCATCATCACTAAAACTATGCCAGCATTTTGACATCTGTGTATTTTGCTAGCTGGTGTAAATCAACTGTGGTGTATATCAAGAATTTGTACACGTAGAATGAATTTCTGGTTGAAATAGCATCTAATATGTTACTTTATCTGCATACATGTGCATCTATATTGAAATTTTTGGGTTAAATCCCATTTTTCAAAGGTGGAGATCTGAACTTATTTTCTAATATGAATATTTATTTGGGATATTTTAATTTTTTTTTTGTTTTTTGAGAGGATGATACTGCTAACTCATCACTTGCATCTTGAGTCAGATTCATTTCTTGCCTGTCGAAAAATTTAAACACAAATATGTACAGAGAATAATGTTTTTACAGTCCAGAATTTGGTTCTGAAAATTTTTAAATAAAAGATATAGGATATTTCACATAAAGCTGAAGTCCCATTGTTGGCCTTTCACTTTTATCCCTCACAAAGACAACCGTATTATTAATGTGCTGTAACCTGGTCCATATTTTTATACTTTTAATGATCTAAGTTATAGCTCCATGAACAACTGATAATATTGTTTTAACTATGTAAATTTCATCATAGTGTTTATATCATTCTTTAACTTGTTTTTTTCTTACTCAGCATTCTATTTTAGAAATCTATCCATGTCAATCTATCCAAAAATAGCCTTGTTTTAACTTCTCTATTGTTTGAATTATCCTAGTTTACTAATCTTTTCCACCACAGATGTCCATCTAGGTTGGGCATCTTGCACCAATGTCTTGCTATCCCAAATAAAATGAATGTCCTATATATGTGCATCCCAAGATTTCTCTCTGGGAAATATGACTAGTAATCTCTTGCTGGGTTGTGGGTTATATGCATTTGCAACTCTGCCACATATTGTCAAACTGCTCTCAAAAAATGTTCTTAATTTATATTCCCACCAGCAGTATATAAAGTTACCATTTCCTTACATTTTCACCAACACTTGTTTTGTTAGAGTTTTTTGGGTTTTTTTTTTTTAAATCAGTCTGATGGGTGTGAAATAGTTTATGGTTCTAAGTTACCTAGTCCCAATTATTTATGAATTTAAGCATTTTTTCAAATATTTATTGATCATTTCCAGGTTTCTTCTTTATAAGTTGCCTGTTAATATCCTTTGCTCATTTTTTTTTCTTAGTTGTCTTTTTCTTATTAATTTATGGGAGTTCATTATTTCAAATGTTAATCTTTTGTCAGCCATATATATTGGAAATATCTTCTCCCAGTTTATTCACACAGAAGTTTTTAAATTTTGGACTATTTTGGTCAAATATTTTAAATTATATTTACGTTTTATGTCTTATCTTAAAGTATCCATTAGTACCTTGGGTTGATTACATATGCTTCCTTTTTTTTTTTTTTTTTT